AAAAAAAAAAAAAAAAAAAAAAACTTGGGGGCGGGGGGCCTATTACCCGTACCCGCCTCGGGGGCAGAATTCCCCACCCTGTACCTTACCTGATTAAGCTGATAATCTCTGCCCTGTTCGGGGTAGGGCCTATTACGTTTTAGTGCATTTATATATTGATTGAAGAATTTTTTTATATTATTTAATTAAATATTAATAAACGATCTCACTATTATAGTCGTCGATGATCTATGGCCAACGATCAACAGTTGCCTTATTTCACCATTATTATTGGATCCGCCACGGCCACTGTTGTTCAATTAAATGTAGTAGACAGAAGAATTATAAAGACTACAAATTTGACTTCTTCGTACTACAATCTTCAATTTTCTTGTCATTGTCTAGGAAATCCATCTTGGACATTTTTTCACAATCTTTTAAGAACATAAGAAGACTTTCCTTCATATGTAACTTGATTACCACAACTCTACTCCATGTATGACCTGATATCGACATAACTTCACCTAGGTGCCATTCTGTCCTTACAAATTAATCAGCTTTAATGCAAATTAATAACATAATAACATGTGCATATTCTTGTTGATAAATGTTTCTTAATTAACTAAAAGCACCTTTCGATATCAATTAAATCTCTTCTCTCATCTAATCTTCCTACATCTATACGAAAGAAGCGAACATGAAAATATGCATTAAAAATGCTTAAACGTTTATAGAAATCATGCAAAACATAGCAGCATATTTCTATCTCTAATCGAACTTTACAATGATTATTATAAGTGCTTTCTATCCTATTATTTCTCTCAAGAATCAATCAAATTTACAATCAATCCAATTAGTGATCAAATAATTGAAAACGTATTAAATCATACAAGTTCATCTAAGAATAAATACATATAAGACTTCAAATTATCGAATTATATTAAAAGATCATAATAAGGCTTCATCCAATGTTTTGTGGATCTACAAAGTTCCAAATGAATTGGCTTATTCGAAAAAGGCCTTGTTTTTTGGAAGATCTATCTCGTGTCTAGTAAATCTGTTCCAAGCAAAATGAGAATGGGATAGGGTTATGAACTCATAATCTGATGATCGAGTCGATTCCATGATTATAAGTTCATCCCATACCAGCAATTAAAACTCTAGCATAGTAATACAAACTTGCAAGAGACACATGTTTAATTGGAAGAACATAATCAGGATTTTAAATTGATGAAAAAGAAGAAAATGGAATTTGAAATCTTGAATCCCTTAAATAGTTTCATTTTTTTTATAAATCTCCAATTTATCTTCTTATTGTCTCTCCAAAAATCAATGTTGAAACTTCAATTTGTAGAAAATTTGTATTTGCCCTTTAATTCTCAGAAGAAGAATGGATTATCATCTCTTTGATGATGTTAATTTATGAATTTATGTGTATGTGAGGTTCTTTTTGATGTATGAGGCAATTTGGTATTTATAAGGTTTGAAAATTAGATGAAAATCGCGTTAGAATTAGTGTTTGGGAAGAATTTTATGTAAAATAGGATTTCAATGGCACCTAGGTGCCCTGTTTCGATAGATTTTTTTAGCAACCTAGCGCTTGGGCAGTGAGGGATAGCATCGGATGCTAGTTGTAATTTTTATATATTGCAATTTCGTCCTCAAATTCGATTCTGATTCTTTTAAATTTTTTTCTTTTGTAATATTGGTCCTTTATCTTCTAATTGCATCTCATTGAACCCATAATATCTTCAATTTTCATTTTGTGGTCCGAACTAACTACTAAAAAGTTATAATTAGATTCTCAAACTTTAAGTTTCAACAGTTTTCGCCATTTTTCATTTCTATCTTTTCAATTTCACGTTCAATCATTGAGTTTTACTTAATAAACGAATTATATGATAAATTAGGTTATAATTAATCAAAAGAACTTCAAAATATCTATATTTAAGTGTCTGAATAAGTGTGTAAAATATACTTACAAATTTTATGTGAGAAAACTTCACGCTACAATATTTTCCTCACTTAAGGAAACTTCTTAATACAATTATTTCCTTGAGCGGCTGCAATTCTCTTGCATCCATACTATTCTTCCAATTTCACCAGGTAATATTGAGTTAATTGAGAACTTTAAAGAAAATTACCTTTTTGTCTCTCGACTTTAATGGAAATTTTTTTTCTTACTATTTTCTTTATTTCATAACTTCAGGCAGAATCCCATAAATAAGCACTTGAAGGTCATCATTCCTGGACTCAATTTTTCTCTAGTATTTGTTTAGCTCAAGTTACATGTCAAGCCTCAAAATTAGCATCTCTTGGGGCCAGCTTGGAAGTTTTGGAGTACTGGTTATGGGCGTTTTTAAAAGTGTTAAATTGATAGTATACACCAGTTGTAAAAATATTTTAAAAGAATAAAATTACATATCCTTTAGTGAATTTTTCAATTTATAATTTTTTAATATGAACTTTTTTACTCGTACCCTTGTTTGGTATTGACTTAATTCAGATTTTAATCTAAATTAAAGTCAAACAATCAATATTAACCACATATTTCATGGGTTCCACAACTTTTCGATCACACATTTCAAAAATTTTTATCAAAATTTACTAAAAATCTAATTTTAATCTCAATCAAACAGGGGCAAGTTATATTTTATTTATAAATAATTTTTTATGTATAAGTTAATTTTGAACATAAAATGTAATTCATAATTAAAGTTTAAGTTATTATTATTTTTTCACTTATTAAGTAAATTTTTAGTGTGATTAATTTTTGTACTTCCAAATAATTTTTTTTTTTTCACACATAGGTAAAGTTTTTACTTATAAGTAACGTTTCGTATTTGTGCTAAACGTCATGTTGTCACTTTTAAGTATTTTATGACAAATTTAGTTACTAAAGTTAGACAATGTCATTTTATAATTGTAACTCCTACGCTTATTTATAGTTATTTATTTGTACTATTGTTAGCTTATTTCATGTTTTTCTTGTTTTTATCATTTTAAGAGATCATTGCGAATTACACATGGAACGAGAGATCTCGTCTCCGAAAAGATTCTTGGAAGCAAAACATCGATAAAAATGGGTCTGAAGTGAAAATCAGCCTGAAATATTTCCGATGGCTTTAAAATTTGGCGCTTGCCAGAACATCCCTTTTGGCCTTGCTTGTTGGAACTTCTTCAAACCGGGCAATTAAGTGTTAATTTGCTGGTGCATGAATCACGAGGGCATTTTTGAACATTTACGTTACATTTTTCTAGGTCAACAAATGAGAGTGTACAGGCATAATTGAGGTCAATAAGGGATTTTTCTTTAGAGCATCTTCAAAAGTCTCTTTAAATGAAAGATACTCTCTATTTGAAGAACCAACCTTGAAAATAATGATCGAAGAGACTTTTTAAATTAACATTTTAATTTAGAAATAACGTTTTAATTTTTTGGAAATAGTCAATTTAAGTGTTAAATATAAAGAGCCTATTGATGTACTTAAAATTTTTTACTCTCTAAATTTATAGATACTCTTTAAATTATAGAATATAGTCTTTAAAAATGGAGGGTTTCTAAATTCTTAGTCAAGTTCTCCAAAGGTTATTAGATAATTTGGTCCCTAGAAGAATAGTTATATATTCTTGCAAGAAACAAAGATACACTCCTAACCAAATGTTACCCTTTGTGCTATTCACACAATTAACACAGCCGAAATGTGTATTAATCAACATAGAGATATTATTAGATTTGATCTCCTATTCCCAGTAGGTAGGATAAAAACTTTACATAGCTGACATGACAAGATAATTTTAGTTATGAAATTGTAATAAATTCAAAAAGTAATAACTAAGGAAAAGTTTTATCATGCCTACTGGGAGTAAGAGATCAATTCTAAAGATATAATAGGCTACAGTCGGTTGGGGCAAATTATTACTTGAGAAAGGTAATTGATTATAGGAGAATTTGAGTAATAAACTAAATTGCTCATTTCGAAATTAATTGGGTGAAAGTAAATCCAACACGTTCTAAACAGAGTTATCCAAAAAATTCACTTTCACTTGATTTTTCTTTTGTTATTATTATTATTTTTTGGTTTCTAATTACATTCCATTTAAGTAGTTAATTGAAAAAATCAAACCAATTTGTGTTTATTACATGGAATTTTAATTAACTAGAATTGAATAACTTAAACACAAGTAATCGATCCTTAGAATCAACACCCCTCTGTAACTTATTCATGATCCATAAACTTGTGATATTGTACCTGTAGATTTCGAACATTATATATTTTGGTAACTTTGCTTGTGAAAGTAACATCCAATCTTGATGAAAAATCGTCAGA